GGCGAGGCCTTGGGCGCAGAGGGCAAATTACTACTACTACTACTACGACGACGACGACGACTACTACAACAAGTGCTACTACTCTGTCTACAAATATTTTTTTGATGCTTATCAAATTTTTTCTTGATGCTTATCAATTTTTTTTTGATGCCTATGCCTGATCAGTGCAAAGGTGGAACTCACCCGCTCGAAACTGATCCGGGACTGGAGACTTCCCCGCAATGCTGACAACAATGCGGGCCATAGACCTGAGAAAAAATAAATGCCTAATCTTGAGAAACTCCGAAATGCCGAGCTGGAGCATGACACCATGCGGACAAAAGCCTTGCCGGTCGCTTCCGGTCACTGAGAAAGGTCTGCTAGAAATGTTGGTGCTGACAGACAGAACGCATGCATCAGAAAACCGGAAAGCCAACTTTTTTCATACGTAACACGGCAGCTAGTCTTGTAAGTCCGTAGCACCGTCGCACTCTGCAACGTCCAAAACCATCCTGCCCTTCAACTCGCACTCTGCACATCTCCTCTGGAGGTGGGGCCTTTCTCTGCCGACTGACGCTGTGGTCCGGGCCTGAGCTGTCACGCTGCTGTCCACGATCTCTTGCGGCCAAAGTCAGGGTTCGGACCAAGGGTTTGCGGGTGATTGGTTCGCCGCTCCCTTTGTGTTTTGGGCCTGGTGGCCCAGAGGGTCACGACACCTTAAACGCCAAATCGTAAGCTAGCAAAGACACATCATCGAAGCAAGAGGCTGGCCCCGAAGTTACTGAGTGCTTGCTCGTCTGTAGCCGGGGGGCTTTCTGTAAGCTCATCCGCATGACTGAGCCGCAAGTGCCGGACAGGCACCTCTACCTGGGAGTCCAAGTTCACCGTTGATTGAAACTGCGCTCCCAGCGCTGTGGAGGTCGATGTTCATGGTTCAAAACTGTATTGAGTTGCTTTTCTGCTGCGGCTACATCAAAGGCCTCGGCCAATAATTCTGCCAGTTCTGCACTGTCTTGTTGACAGATATGCTTCTTGAGTTTCATGGGCGCCCTGAAACGAAATCGAGCTTGATTCGCGATCTCCACGACCAGGTCGTTTCGGGCTTCGGGCTGCGCTGTCGGTTCGAACTGCCGCACACCTCGGTGCCATCCCTGGGAAGTACTGTGTTTGTGTATGTCCAAGGCACTGGCAAACGGCGTCCTCTGAACTGGACCGTGCAAAGCTGCGCCGGCACATCGATGCTCAGCAGGCGGCCTTGTCTGTCAGTTGCTCGACTTTTCGCAGGAACTGTTAGGTGTCAGACAGCTGCATTCGGCCTTTGCAAATCTGCCTCCTTGTGGTGCCGGTGGCACCACTGTAACACTTCTCTGACACGTCTCTGGCCGGATGCTGACTGAACTGTCGGGGAGGAACCATTCGGTAGTTGTTGGGATGATTCCTCCAATTGATGCTTGGGTCCCACTACCTGACTCTTTGTAGTCCGACTGTCGTGTTGGATGCGGTGCACCGTTGAGGCAAGTTAGAGATTCTGTGTCTGTGGACAACTTCCGCGTTGTAAGCGCCTCCACTCGGTTCCTCGCTGAAGTTTGCTTAGTACTTGTACTCTTTGGGACTGAGTGTCTCTAGCAACACAAGGCCTGGATCGTGACAAATGCATTTTGGTGCTGCACACCTCCGTCCATTATATTCGATTCTGGCTTCGCGGCAATACAGCTCCATTTCTGGCCATGTGCTGCGTTCTAAGCATTGCTGCTCTTCGTTTGGGCTCCTTAACCAGCTGTTACGGTAAAGACAATCTGCAGCAGAAACTTCGTTGTGACGGGGTGCCCTGGTCTCTCGCCGAATACTCTGCGAAGTCAACTTCATCCAGGACAGTCACCTCACTAGCTCACACTCAATTGATTGTTCCCAGCCAGCATTGGCATCTCTGGGGAACCTCTAGCTGCTACGCTAGAAAGTCTTGGCACTATATGACTTTGACACCTACTGCAAATTCCGCCTTCGGCAATGAAGCTTCATGAAGTTCATGGCTGCGGTGCGGCTTGTCACAAGATGGCCGAACTGAACGGGATAGCCGCTACGCCAGTGCTACGCTGCATCGTTCATGCTTGGCCCAAGCCACCTGCTTGCCCGGTTGTAGCCCTCGGCAGTGTCTGGCGGCTGTCACCGCATCGTCCCACTTCAGTACCATCGGGCCATCGGGATCTCGAACAGCCCAACGTCTTCGGAACCTCCTCCCAAAACTTCGACAAGTCTATGGAAGTTGGGCTCTGCACTAATCTCCGCAGCTTGTGACACGTGAGAAGCCTAGCCATCGAAAAGAGTCCACCCTACCTAATGGCCGTGGAGCCAGACTGCCGGCGAGTTCACAGCAAGGCAACCATGGTGGAGATGCTTCGTGCTTGACTTCCAAATTTTAAACAGTCCACCTGCACAGGTACACGGCTTGTCAAGGGAGGCAAACCCTGCCTCCTGGCTGGAGACGTCGTGCTTCACCTGTCAACGGTCTTGGTGACCCGTGAGCTGTGGTAGTCATGAACAGCGCAATGTAATTGACTCAGTGACTCAGCCATGTGCCGAAAGACTTCCAATACTACCGCCGACAACTTACAAGCAGCCAGCATGTTTAACATGCTGCATCCCCCAATCCTGCAGCAACAAACCTAGGCCAGCGCACTTTTCAGCTGCATTTCAACCCTCCTCGCTGGAGATTCGATGCAGCCGGGGCTAGGAGCAACCTTGGGGACCAGGCGCTGTCCCTCCGCCGTTTAAGGCTGCTTGAAATTATGGTCCTTTTTTGCACTTTATGTCGCGCATCGTGAAGGGTCCGGGAAAAGGGACCATAATTGAACAACCCCACGGATGGAGTCGAATTCGACTCTCACAGCTCGACGTCGAAGCAAGCGACATGCCTCGGTGTCAGGATGACCAAAGTTTGGGGCAGCTATTTTCATGTAGTGCTATGTATGTATAGGAAGATATTCAGACGAGCAGCATGGTGGAAGCATTGCGCACTGAACAAAACTCGGCAAAAGTAGTACTGCCAGTCACCAGGCCTTTTCTAGGACTCGATTCCTCGATGTTGTTCAAGAACCCTGCTCTCGAGAACTTTTTTCTGCTGCCGGGGGGGGATATTTTCATCCCGGTCACTACCACTAACCCTCCCAAAGTCTATCAAGCACGCGTGCGAGGACAGCTTTGCTGTGCTGCAACACATGCATCTCCGCCGTAAATACGTGCTTCCTGCGCTATGCATCGCTACGCACCCCATGAAACGCCGGACGCTCTGCGGTAAATCCGGCGATAATCCAGAGGGTACAACGCCTTCATGAATTCCATCTCAGTGATTCCGCCGTCCCCGTTCTCGTCGAAAGCCAGGAACAGCTCTGAAGCCTCGGAGGGCTTCATACCAATCCGCATCTTTGCCACCAGATCGCAGAACTCGTCCATCTCCAACTCACCATTCCCGTCCTTGTCAAACTTCGAAAAGAGCCTGGGCATATGCTCGGCAGTGTACCCCAGATTTTTGAGCTTGCGGCGAGCTTGGGTGATGAGGACGATTCGATGTCGATCCGCCCAGGTCTGCGACATTGCATTGCCCAACACGGAGAGAGGCATGGCCATAAAGAGGACGCTGGTCAAGCACAGCAAGCCGGCCATCATCTTTCCAGTCGGAGTGCTTGGGTTCATGTCGCAGGTTCCAACCGTCGTCACGGTTACGGTGCATAGATAGATGGAGGTGCTCAGGGAATCCATAGTGTCCGGCTCCAGCACGTAGAAAGCACATCCAAAGACCAGCACGATCAAGCAAACCAGGAAAAGCAACAATTTCAATGCATCCAAGGTTGTAGACAGAACATGAAACAAGAGCTGCAGCTTCTGAAATTTACGGATCAGCTTGAGCGCCCTCAGGCAAGGCACCAGACAGTACAGTAAATGGTGCACCAGTGCATTCTCGTCCTTGGTGGGGGATGCAATGCCGAAAGTTCCTGGGATTCGCAATGCCGCTGGAAGAATTGCAATCAAGTCAATGACGTTGTACGGATTCGTGACGAATGCTATCCTGTCAGGTCTCCTTGTAGAGAAGAAGTGCGCCAGCAACTCGATGAGCAAGAGGCCCTCAAAACCCAGCTGAATCGCGCCCTCAATGAAGCGAGGCACCACTGGCTGGGCACTGGCTTGCCAAACAGTCAAGATGATGGCAGCTGTCACGAAGTAGTTCATGAACTTCGAGTACAGCCACGCCGCCTGACTTGAGTCCTCGTCTTGCATGAACAAGTACAACTCGGTAACGGTAGCTTGCCTCTTGAAAAACTCCGAGAAGGAAGCATTGCTCACCCTTTTAACTCTGCACCTGTTGGGCGGCGGGTGTTCTGGCATCTCATCATTCGGAGTCGATGTACTGCTGAAGCTCCCAGAGGACCTAGTCTCGAAAGAACTGGACGCATCTGACTTGGCTTTCTCCGGTGCATCCACCTCTGCCTGCGGTGGGTCGTCTGCGATCTCTGGCTTGTGCGGCAGGGCTGAGGCATCTGCAGGCATCAGCTCTGTCGGCTTCTCCTGGGGCGTATGTGGACTGAAGGGATGGACTGCCTCCGGCTTCGGAAACCTTGCTGCATGCGTGGTTGGGTGCGGGGTCTTCAACTCCAATGAATCGGCCGTTCCCTGTGAGTCAGACTCTTCCGGGACAGCTGTCTTGGAGGCCAGCCGTGGCTGGACTACTGGACTGATTCTGCCCATGACCGCTGGGTACTCCTCTTCGGAGTCCGAGTCCGGAGAGGATCTCCGGCACAGCAACCTTTTCGGGCTCCGGAGGAAATGAAGTCCCTCTGTCAAACCCGTCCTCTGCAGTCCCAGGATGTGAGGCTTGGTGACGGAAAACGCCTCGCCATCGGTGACACCTGCTTGTCTGCCTCTCCAAGCTGCTAGATCTCTTTCGTAGTGCTCAAGAAGTTGGGTCTTCAAGTGCTCTGTCAACTGGTCCAAATGGAATCCAAAAGCAGAGTCCATTGAATCCATGACAGCACTCACCAGGCCGAACGAAGTGCACGCGGTAGCAATCTGCAAATCTTAGCGTGACTGGTCCTAGGTTTTAGGCGGCATGGACACATGGCTACCTATATATATATATATATACATACATACATACATACATACATACATACAGACATACATACATACACATAATGTGATAAGTAATTGCTGCATGTCTCGAGGACTTCACCCGCACTTTACCTAGCTCAGGCGGGCTTGGAGGCAAACTTGAGCCGAAATGGCTACAGGGTTAGAAGCTTTTCTCCACAACCGTTGAGGTGGGCGGATCTTCAGAAGGCGTGATCCGGGGCATGCGATTTGCAACAGGCATCGTTCTCGGAGTTCTGCGACCCTGCTTTACGGCCTGAGTGCACACACTTCTGCGGTACTAAGCCTTGGCCTTATCCAGGCATAGATACGTGGATGCGACTATGTCTGCTGTTGCATTGCAACTCGATGAAACCTTCTCAAAATCGTTCTGACCTGATCCGGCCATGTCGCGCCGTTCTCCGGCCATGGTCAAGCCCAGCCCCTGTGTGGGCGCGAGCGTGCCGGATCTGCCACCTTGTGTCAGCTGAAAAGAAAACATGAGATCTGCATGTACCGACCCACAACGAAAATTATGGTTATAATAGTGAACAGCATAGCAAGAGCTCCAACTGGATTGCTGTAAATGCTTGCATCGTACTCTCTCTCTCTCTATCTCTCTCTCTCTCTCTCTCTCGCTCTCTGCCGTGCATTCTAAAGAGTCTCGCTACGCAAGGGCACGTAACCGCAGCAGGCTAGAATATCAGGAGGCATAGCGTGCTGCACTTACTGCGATCTTGTCAACATCTTGCATTTGACACTCTAGGAATTCGAAAGTTCTTACGTGTAGCCGGGCCCAAGCCGGCCTTTTGTCGCATCGCAGAAGTCCAGTGAGGCTCCAAACCATCCTCGTCGTCAAGGCCTGAAAAAAAGTCGGAGACGGTCTCGGCTCGGTACCCCTGACTGTCAGCCTGACTGCTGTCCGACTGCTATCCGAGGTACCGAAGTGGGGCTCGCGCCGCTCACGGCCTCCAAGGGCTGGCAGCAGCCGCGCTTGGGGCATAAACTTCTCAGCCACCTGCACGGATCTTCGAATCGCAGAATTCAAGAAACTTGGTCCCATGGTTCCGGCGCGAACTCGGCAGAGAGGTCTGTTGGCCTGGCCTTGTCTTCCGAGCCCATGTACCGAGGATCAGGACAGCACAGCTCGGAGAGCCGCTCCTGAACGTGTAAAAAGATGAGGCAACGAGAAAGCAACCACAGAGTGACACAGGTAATGCTCACGATGCTTGCGGCTCATGCTGGGAGCGGGTTGGTTCCAGGTTGGCCGGTGGCTGATTCTTTCTTACACTTCACAGTATTGTCATTATAGAGCAGTGAGTCGTGGGCGCTTTTATATGAGGCTGGGGCACGTGACGTCAGGCAAGGTCTGAGGGACTAATGAAGATCGCCTCCCGGACGGCGCTGGCCGGAAGTCGAAAGGACTGCGGCACCTGCCGTGAAAGCTTCGCGGCAGCCATCTACAGGCGTGTCTTGGCTTGTGTTTCCAGCTGAGTCTGATGTAAGCCAGAGCTTCTTTCAACTGGGTTCTAATCCCGATAAGCAAGCATTAGAAGCCGGGGCAGAGCCGCAGGGCCAATGCCAGAGCAGGTTTTCGAGATATTCCCCAAGCTGCTGACAGGGCGACTTTCAATTCCGTCTGGAGTGCAGGAGACTAGGCATACGTCACATTGGGTTTCGTGCTCCAGCTGGCCCAATGCACAACTTGCATCAACATCATATCCTCGTACCCTTGCGGAGCCAGTCCCCACCGGCTGGTTCTTTCGTGGTTGCGCATCTATGCGGGGCAAAATCAAAAACCTCAAGATGGGAAAACCACTGTGCCTCCCAGCTAATGAACCCTCAGCCCCCACACCCTCAAGGTGCTAAACACAAAAGCCGCATCCTCAGAAACCAAATTGCCCAAAATTCCAACCCCTCTCTCATTTCGACCCTCAAAGAGCCGCCTTCAATAATTTTACTGGGTCTTGGGTCCACTAAGAACTGCAATTCTTCAAAAGCCCCCGTTTATGTATATGATATGCATATATATATATATATAGATATGTATATGCATGCTCTCGGGTCCCGGCCCCTACACCCCCCCTTCCCATGGTATCCCCCCCTACCCCTCCCACCCCTGCCCTGCTCTTGAGCCTCCGAGGATCCGAAGCTCGGCCTTGGGCCGGGGCCACCCGGCGAGGAGGGGCCGCGCGACGGCAAGGCACCTCGGGCTTCGGCGGAACGAAAGGAGAAGGGAATGAGTCCAGCTGTGTGTGTGTGTGTGTGTGCATAGATAGATAGATAGATAGATAGATAGATAGATAGATACAGATAGATATAGATAGATATAGATAGATATAGAGATAGATATTTTTGGCACCCACATGGCAACGTCATACTCTATATATATATATATATATATATATATATGAATAATGTACATATGTATGTCTGCACGTATGAGTTTTTTCCCACCCGCCCAGCTGACAATGAATTAATCAGTTACATAAAAGGAGAGAATGAAGCAAGTCAGCCATGAAGGGATGAGATGCATGTGTGGGTCCGGTCTGTCCTGGCGGCTTCGCACAATTTCAAGATCGAAGTTCTAGCACAGAATTGAAAAGCCCGTAGTGCAAGTTCATAAACCCCAGACTAGACCCTGGCGCTCAGGGCTGCACAAGCTTTCCATGGCATCCCGGAAGCGTCAGCCAAGCGAACTGTCCACCGGAGGCGGGCGAATGCGTCCTGATTCTCGGATTGGCTTTGTGGTCACAACACACATAAGATAATACAACTCAAGGCAGTATGTACCCATCAAAATAGAAAAAATGTTATACGATACGTATACCAGAGAATAAAATGGTATTTAGGAATCGAAGGCAGAGTGACAGCACCGGAATCAGTCACAGACGACACGATTAAGCACTTTCGAGGCGAGGTGATCGACCGTTTAGCAGTCGAGCTGCCTGAGGCGTGGGAGCTGTACGGGCACGTTGGAAAGCTTCGGAACTGATTTTGCTGCAGTTTCGGCGCTCAATTACATTTCGGACTGCACGTGGGCAAAATCTGCTTTCAGGCAGTCAGCACCTTACTGCCAGGGAAGCACTAAGCGAAGGAACCACCTTGAGTTGCGCCTACCGTAAGCAAGCACGCAGTACAGTATGGGGGCGAGCAGTGCTCGAGAAGAAAGACATACCAATCTACTGTCTAGAAAATGACTCCGACATCCCGAGTTCTCCGGACGAGAACTCTGACATTGTCTTCATCAAGCCCCAAACTTCCAAGCCTCTGCCGTCGCCAGTGCGTCACCAACGCCAGTGCCCAAGGCAACAGCATCGCCATCCTCCAAGGCCTCGTAGTTGCGGTTCAGGGGTTCTTTTCAATCCGCCATGGTGCAGGACTTAAAGGTTTGCGGGTATCGGCACTCGCCGCGCGCGTTTCCTGCTACAGAGGGCCGGAGGGGCTCAACTCTCACAGTCCGGCGAACCCGGCAACGCCTGAGTAGCGTTCCTAGTATCCAGACGCAAAGCTAGCGTGAGGCCTTCGTTTGCAGGGAACTGCCGGGTATCATCTCCGAGTTCGGATCTTCTTCGACAGAACAATTCAGATGCTCGGCTAGGCTGAGCGTGTGCGGCGTTCCTGGATACACCCCACGTACTCAAAACAGCAACAACAACGCGAAAGCACGTCGTTCGAATAAAAGCAGTGTTCCGCCAGCTCTTTTCGTCTGAAGCCCATAGTGAAAGACCATCACCTTCACCTGCTCAAACCCTTGTGGAGAAGAGCCTGCCTAACACAATGCCTTTCTCATAAGATCTCACAGGCGGTGCACCACCGAGTCTTCTCTGCCGAACTCCAAGGGTGGAGATCCCTGGCGAAACCGCCACATGGGGTTCGGCGTCTGCGAAGTGAGCCGCACCTGGCGAGGGGTGTTCCCAAGCTCTGACAGATAGCTTCTAATTAACCTAATTAGTATTTGCTAAGCATACATCCACTCTGTGTCTGCTACCAGTCCGACAGCACTAGAGGTTGTCTGCAGATGTCGGATTTCGGGTCATGGTTGAGGCAAAGAGCTCTCTTCGAAATGACCGATACGGATGGCCCCAAACCGGCACTGGCTGTTTTCAAGTGCACATTCACACTCTGCCCGTTTCTGGGCAGGGAAAGTTTCGCCACGGCCATTGGCACAGGCAGGGCTCCCAAGGCAATTAGAGCATCATGGAGCTTGCCAGGACGGGCTATACCGTGTGTCACGAAACTGAGGGTTTGGCGGATGTGACCACAGCGGCACTCCACAGGGCACAGTGGAGCAACAAAAAACACATCGTGACCTACGTAAAGCGCGTCGGCATCACAAAACTAAGCCATCTAACCGGCCTCGACAAAATTCGACCGGTTCACGAAATATGGCACCGGTGACCAAATTCCACGAACCGATCCGGCCGTTGGAGGCCACTTCGCGGCATCCACAGCAGACTGAGGCTCCGAACCCTTAAACCTCGTGAACTTCAAGCGCCACTATGCTCAAAACACGAAAATCTGAACAGCTTGCCAAGTCAAGAGTTCACTCTGGTTTAGGGGTGTTGCGGTCACACTCTCCGGTCGAACCCTGAAGAGTGAGTGTCGCAGCTCCGGAGTTCAAAAAGCACGGGCCTGTCTCGGCATTCAGTTCTAAGTCTCATAACCGTTGAAGAAAACCGGTTGCAACCCTGCGCCCGCTCCTGGCCTGGCAAAGCTCTGTGACAGGCCCGTGCCATCGGGGCTTTCAAACCGCCCATGTCTAGGCAGGATAGCGGGGTTAGTTGCCTCCCGTATGTCATGTTGTCAAGTAGTGCTCCAAAATTTGAATCACTTTATTCCCTACCAGTCTGGCAAAACTGTCGGGTTCTTCCATGATTACTGTTCACATGAAGCCCAGTGTGGCATGGTGCATCACATTGGGCGGCCTCTTGTGCACATTACGTAATTGGCGTGTTGGAGTCTTGGTCGCGGGGTGTAGGGTGGTCTTCCAGTAGAGGTCTTGCCTGTGCTCTTCCACTGTTTGGTGTCTACGCCGGTACATTGTATGTGGTAGGTTGCGGGAGGCTGTCGCAAAACCACGCTTAGGCTGCAAAAAGCACATTGGTAGCCAAGATGTGCGACGCATTGAAATTCTGAATGTTGGGGAAGACATCGCGCTGGTGCGAGCCTTCCACGCCCATCCACTCAGCAATGGGCATGAGGACGTTCTCCCACGGATACTCTGGAATCATCCGACCGCGACCGGCGTCCTGGTTGTTACCCTCGATCAAGCTGGAAGGGAATCGATTGTAGACCTGGCCGCCCTTCACTGCCCCACCGAGGACCACGTAGTTCCCAGCCCAACCATGGTCGGTGCCCTTGCCGTTGGAGGTGAGTGTGCGGCCGAAATCCGACGATGTGACGAGTGTGGTCGCATCAAAAATGCCCTGTGCCTTGAGCTCTGCCACAAAGTACTCCAACGCAAAGTTGAGGTTGCCAAAGAGCTCCTCCATTACCTCCCGAACGTCGTTGTGGGTGTCGAAGCCTCGCAACTCCACGTAGAAGAAGTCTCGCTCCACTTTGCGAGCTTCCCGCGAAGCGATCAGCTTTGCCACTGTCTGGAAGGACAGCATCGTCTGACGCCTATTCCAATCCTGGATACTGTTGCCTTCCGGCCAGGTCGAACTCAGGTTGGCCGTCTGCAGCTGCTCGGACAAGACTTGATTGGAATCCACCCACTTTCCCAGATTTCTGGCATACTCCTCCATGTAGACATTGCCGTAGGACGTGTTGGAGAGATCCTCCAACAGCTGCCGCCTTCCTGTGTAATTTTGGAGCGTCGGCACCTCACCGCTTCTTGCCACGCTGATCTGGTTGATGTCTACACCCTGCGCCCAGGTCTGTCGACCGCTGAGGGAGTATGAAGCCGTTCTGAACTGCTGTGTCCCGGCGGAGAGTGCATCTGCCATGCGCCCTCCCACACCCTTGGGTGCGGAGCCCCGGATTTGACACTTCAGCGTTTGCGCCGCCTCTGTCTGGTCGGAGTGGGAGAAAAGGCCGGCGCAAACGGTTTTCAGGCCGTTGTCGTACTCATTCCTGTTCAGGGGCTGGACCAGGCTCCCGACATTGCTGACGAACGCGGCCTTTCCATCCCGGTAAAGCTGTTGAATCACAGGGAGTTTGTGATGCACGCCGAACTTGCTGCATTTTTGCCCAGTAGTTTGGATCTCTAGCAGCTCTGAGTTCAAGAGTGCCGCCAGACCTCGGACAGCCATGTACTCATCGTGGAGCTCGCAATCCAGTGGCACAAGAAGGTTGAAGGTGTCGGCCCCGCCATTGAGATAGAGGTTGATCAAAGCCTTGTAAGATCGCGGCTGGACGTCCTCCGTGGTTGTCTGTGTCTGGTCACTGCGCGGACCTTCCGGAAGTGGCGACCCAAGGGTGTGGAACTCAGGTGCGAGGATAACCGCTTCCTGTGCGGCCTTGACCTTTTGCTCCTCTCCCCAGCCCTCCAAACTGGCGCGTGCCACATCCTTGGTGGCATTCACCATCCGTCCACCTGTCAAAAGCAGGTTGAGGTCATCAAGAACTTGCGTGGCACTGGACTGCGTGATGTTCAAGCCGTGCTTGAACGACTTCTGATCACAAGTCTTCGTGTCAAGGCCAAAACCTCCGTCACAGTTTGTCACACCACTATTCTTGATGAGGGACAGCATGCCGTTGAGGAAGTTGACCATGTTGCTGGCGTCCATGATCTGTGCCTCCGGGGCCACCACATCTGCTGGCATGGTATTCGACTGGAAGTCCGCACGGTAGAAGTTGAAGACAGACGGGGACCCGAACGGCCCCTGGCCAATCAGCTCTTGCAGCTCCAAGAACATGATTTCGCGGCCTGCTGCATCTTCGAAATCCATAGCCCGAAGGAAGTGCACCAGCTTGATCAGTGGCTCACGCAATGCTCCTCGGCGACTTGCTGCACCCAAAGCCTCGGGATGAAGAAGGATGGCTGCGATTGTGGCTGAAAGGTCACCACGACGGCCTGAGAATGTGTGTCCTTGATAGGTGCCCGTCTTGAATGCCTCCGCGACGTCGAAGACGTAACCAGGAGATGGGTTCGAGGTCACGAAGCGCTGGATGAGTCGATACCCGATGAAAGTCGGCGTGTTGCGGTGGTTCACCAAGTGCTCTAGCAAACTCTCAATCTCCCAGCGGGCCGAGCGCTCAGTCACCGCTTCCTCCAGCCCAAATCGCGGCGGATTGCGGAAGCTCTTACCGGCCACGTAGACAAGGCTCTCGATGTTCCGGTAGTATTTGCCTTGGTGCTCGAAGATCGTCTTCTCATCAAAGGTACCATCTACGGTGTAGGCTTTCACATCTCCGCAGTGACTGCAGGCTCCCAGCGGGGGCAATGCACCCACCGTCAGCTTCGACAGCTCTGAAGCACCTGGAAGGCTACTGAAGACGGCACGGGTCTCGACCCGAATAGGGCATTCACAAGAATTCTCCAAGCTGCTGCAGTCGGATGGGCAGTTCTGCACGTCCGGGGAGCCGTTCGTCCACTGCACCCTTAGCCTGTTCATCTTCATCTTCTCAGTCCTTTGAGAGCTGACCCTGCCGATCTCATCCACCGTGACGTTGGTGGTGCAGGTTTCCGGCGTCCACACCCTGGCAGTATCATCATCGTTCAAACCACACGTCGTCAACTTAGTGCCACGGTCGCAGATCTTCAGCCCCTCCTCGGCACAGCGGCGCGTGGCAGCCTCGTAGGACATGTGTTCCTGATGGTAGCCACAGACGTGAGCCTCTTCATACTCCTTGGTGCAATTCCCAGCGTACCCAAGCCCAAGAGAGTCGCACCTCTGTTCGCACCACCTGTTCCTGTCCCACCAGCTTCCTGGGCCTTGAATGTTGCAGCCGCTGGTGGTGAACCAACCATCACTTAGGTTCTGACAGTTACCATGTTCCAGCCACTGAGGGGGTGGGATATTCGAACAACCATCACAGCAATATGCGCCTGCCACCAAGGTCTCCGGATTCGTGCAGATCATCCGAGACTGCCAGAAACGCCTCGCGGCGCTTCCCGTCGCAATCCGGCCTTCGAAGAAGAAAAAGTGCACGCAAGCTGGTGGCACAAACTCGTACAAGGCCTCGCCAACCTTGATCACCCGTGGATGGGTAGTACGGCACTCTTCCTGGTAGCATGTCAGATCCGTGCCCAGCACGACGCTGGACGAGAAACGGCAAGAGCCAGAGCCGTCCGCCGAGCAAAGAGCCTTGTACAGGGCCGACTCGGGGCGAAGCTGGAGGACCGAGCTTGGGGCCTCCTGGGTAAAAAACTCGTAGCGAGCCCCTTGCCGAAGGAACTGGTCATCGCGGAGGTCCACGCACAAGGGATAGCCGTCGCCAAGGTAGTTCCCGTTCAAGTCCATCTTGGGGTAGGCATCATGCCACCGCGACACCATTCTCATCGGATCGATGATGTTTCTGCCGGCAGATGTGCTCGGTACCATTTCGATATTGCTGCGCCACTCCTGACGATCGAAACCGGTCAGAACGCTGGCGAAGGTCATGATGTCATCGTTGTCGTAAGTGGGCACCGGGTTGCCAGAAGCATCCAGGACCCAGGATCCATCCTGATTCAGCTCGACGGTGCCAATGGAGAACAGCTGCATGACCTCGCGGGCATAGTTCTCGTCAGGGTAGTTCTGGTCGTGATCAAAGGCCGTGTTTCGCAGGAAGGAGAGGTATTCGCCCATCAGAGGGTTGAAGGTCACCTCTCGTAGCAGGTCCAAGTAGTTTCCGAATGCATTGCGCACCAGGATGTCGTAATAATTCACCCAGATCTCGTGTTGCTCCGAATAGGTGAAGCCACCAAGGCCAATGACCAGGATCTGGGACAAAGCCCATGCCATGCGCTGTCGCAGCTGGTCGGGTGCCGTGGCGACCTGATTCATCCAAGCACTAATCCTCGGGAGACGTGGCCTTCCCGAATGTTTGTGCTCGCTCGGGTGGTCGAAGTCCAGGTCGTTCCGAAGGTCCGCAAAATCGATGAAACGGTAATAGAAGGGCATGTTGTTGCCCAGCTTCGGGCTGTTGGCGACTTCGCCCGGGGAGGGGCATGCTAGGGACAGGGTTTGGGAGTCGGAAGCATTGGCCAGCGCAAGAGCCAGTGATTCTGAGTGGACGCTCGTTGGAAGGTCTAGGTAGCGCACTTCCGAGTCCGCCTTACCGATGTACTGCAACACCTTGTTGTTCACCTGGGTCTCAAAGCGCTCTATGGGGTGGTTTCCCGGGTACTGCAACTTGTAGTCACTGTTGCTCCACTTGGTGATCGCAGTGGCGCCACCTGGATGTGAAGTAACCCAGTCGGTGAAGTCGTAGACGTTGCCCTCGTGGATGTGCACGTGCTGGAAGGTATCGCTCCCGACCTCCACCACGGAAGCTGCAGGCACTGCCTCACAGTTGACATAGACATCGCGTAGGCCGCCCGATTGAGTGGAGAGGGCAGCCCGAATGAGTGAGGTATCCGAGGATTGCAAGGACGAGGGAGTGCAGGTGTCCGTCGAGCAGTCCAAGAGCTTCCACCGAGCCAATGTCCCACAAGGACTGAGGGAAGTGGGAAGACCGGCGACGGTGAAGATGTGCCGGTTCGCATGCTCTGAGAGCAGCTGCAAAGATGAGCTGTTCAGCATAAGAGTCGAGTCTGTTCCCCGAGCCAGATCACAAACTCGGCCGGCTTGCACTTCACAGGCCTCCAGATTCATGGGGGTCTTTGGGACCGCCACACAAACATCCGCCGGGTTGGTCACGTCCAGCAGCTTCAGCCGAGGCTCATGTTGGAAAGTCTGGCCATCAACTTGGATGAAGTCCTGGAAATCACAATTCGTGGGGCTCTGCTCGAGGGCAATGACCGAAGGACGCACACTCTGGAAGGTGCCCCCTACGTCCGTCAGGCCTGGCACATATAAGCCGGGATTCAGCATCACAATCTTGTCCTCGCACGCTGCATCCACGGAGAGCTCGATTTGGCTCCCGACACCTGTAGCAGGCTCCACGGAGCAAAGATAGCCGGTAAAGTTGAAGTTGGGCCATCCCGGTGAACAATCGTCAGATCCATACCGATAGCCGCCATCGAAGCACTCCTGTTGGCAAGTCTTGTCCCTTGTCCAGTCCTCAGCTCCACTGCAAGTCCAGGCTCGGATCTGGTTTGCGCAGGTGCGATGAGGATGCCAGCGCCACCAATCGCGGCCAACAGAAGAGCAATTCATTGGCTCTGGGAGCGAGTTCTTCGTGTAAGAAGCATCCAGCGTTGTCCGCCTGGCCCCAGCAACGAAGATGTGCACACCATTGGCCACAACCCGTGCACCCACGTCCGCGAAAGTGAAGGTATTCTGCAGCCAGCGGGATCCAACCTCGCAAGAGGTGCGCGGCACTCCTGCAGGCTTGTCCTCGGAAACCTGTGGGTTAGCACGAGCACGGTAGCGGCTGCGCAGAAGCGTCGGAGGCAGCGACAGCTGTGCCTCGAACCAGGTGTCGTAGTCCAAGCCACCGATCTCTGCCAGGGAGGCACGTGTTGGGCCGAAGGTCGCCTGGATCAGGAACTGGGCGTCCATCGCCGGAGATCTCTCCGGCAAGACGAAGGTCCAGGTTGTCGTAGACGTGGTAGGCGTTGGACCCAAGAAGCCCTGAGTGGTGTCGGTTTCCGGCGTAGAGCCATCCGATCCACCATCAGAGCATCCGGAGAGGACAAGTGCCAGCAATGTCCCAAGAGGCACCAGCCACAAATGGCACCGGCGGTTCAGCGCCATGACTCGAGCAAGTACGAGTTCGACCGCTAACTCCTTCAACTTGAGCCGTAGCCATGCAAAGAGATGTGCAGTTTGTTCACCGCTGATTTCGGCTTGGGCCTCCCGGGTCCGAACAGCTCAAGGAACCAAGAAATTGTCCCACTTCTCGATCCGACCATAGGAGCAAAAACCGGCCTCCGCATCACGGAATTCCACAGCGAAGTGATCCCGGCTAATGAACTGCAGGCATTCCTCGACATCAGATTCCATTTATCAGTACTCTCATGTACTCGCATATCTTTATCTGCTTTTTTGCATTGTGCAAGTCTGCTGAAAGCACCATGTCAGTTCTCGCGCATATGACAGCGGCATCATTATTGACTCAAGAGGTAGCAGATTAAAGGAGTTTCCTCTGCATGGCCACTTCCCACTCCACGCTCTCTGACTTGCAGACACGAGACACGCACGATCACAGATCGCAGCTGGTCAGCCTTTCAACATCTAGCACAGTGATGTGTGCAGTTCCATGCCCTAGCATGTCTTCAACTCCGGCTCGGGGGTTTGTGTCACTGCACAGCCGACATGGAAAAAAACCGCGAACTCTTCGCGCCAGGATGCAAACGTGCTTCAGGGCCTGCGTCGCGGCTACGACTCCCCGCCTGGTGCCGCCTCCCTACAGCCAGGGGAGAGGACAAAGCCCAGGAGCCGAGGCGCCGGGCTGCTAGAGAGGCCTGGAGATGCAGATAGGATGCATAGAGTGAAGAGAGTGCGTATGCATCATTATATGCATCCATGCATGCGTATACGTCTACGATCTTGTTTGCTTCCAGACAACCCCAGAGTGGCTTTGCTTTGCTATCGATTCCGATGCTGCTCGAAACCGCACGTTAGCGCCCGCCCATACCCCCCAAATGTTTGGGGAGAAGAGCTGCTTCACACCTGCATGGCCTTTGCGTCTGTAACTCTCTCCCTGTCTCCCTCTCCACCGCCAGTACTCTGGAGCGAATATTCTCCACTTGCAGCCGCAGCCCCTTCCCTGCGGCACTAGTGATGAGTGCTGAAACTCATCGCTTCCTATCGGAACTTGTCCTGTCGCACTTTGCCATGTAAATATGCTGTTTTCAATCATGTGGTTCATACCTGAACGCAGCAAACCTTTGATCTCTTGGGGGGCTGTGGAGACCTTTGCTCGATGATTCGCGACTCCGCGTGGCAGCTTGGCTCCGCAAAAGCTCCGAACAGACTGCCGAGGAGATATGCAATCTACTCTTGAACACCAAGCAAGTTCCGGGCTCGAGGGTCATGGCGCGAATCTAGAGATTTTGCGTGAGGAAGGTGAAGTTCATCAATCTTGGGCTCATTTCCGTTCAATGACCACCTGCCAGACTAAGGTCCGCACTTATTTATACAACTCTTAGAGGCAGGTTGTGAACATGCTCAGGCTCCCTCTGGCCTCAGCCTTCACACCAGCTCCATTCAGCTCGAGGGTGATGTGCGGCTCGATGCCTCAACTATAGTGTCAAGACGGTCATGTGAAGTACATCCCGCATGGCGAGCCGGGTCGCAGGTAACTGGGCGCAACAAACGAATTATGACAAAATTGAGCGGGCTAGGAGTTTGCCGACTGCCACACGCGGCCTACGAATGTCTACAAGAGTGATGTTGGGCCAGGCCAGGCCCAACCAAAGAACAAATCCAAAAAGTTTTCTTTCCAAGGCTATTGCGGCACATGCGCCAGGACCGGGAGTACGGTCAGAAAACTTGGCCACACAAGGATCAACGACTTGCTGTACAGTAATTTCGAGGCAGTGACGAGCACGAGCGGTCTCGAACAGATCCTACCTTCGCATGTTGAAGCAGATACCCATGACAAACTCTGGCATGATACACAACTGACCAACACCCACTGCTGCAAGCCACTCGTCGCGGCAGTCGGGTCTTCCACTGCCACCTGCAGAGATTTGGAGTTCAGATTACAACAGGAGGTGGAGGCAACCCACCAGCAGTTGGCTGGCTGCGAAGCATCGTGATGCAATCTACCTGACTGATGTGCTCTCGTCCTCTCCTGCCTTGCGGACGTTTACAAAGCATATCGCTCGAAGCTGCTGAAGCTTAGCCAAAGCCCGCTCGGCCTCTTCCGGCAGCTGTGCCAACACCGGACAGGGGCCCAACGTGGGGGCCTCGGGCGAAGACTGTCTTGTCTTGCCTTCAGTGCTCTCTGGATAAGACGGGATGGACCTCCACGGCACAAGTCTTGTCGAGGATGTCAGCTCCTAGTTCTTGGGTGAAGTGCTACCTGCAACTTCCGACACAAAGCTCACGGTAAGACTCCATGATTCGGACGACTTATTCGTGTCGTTACGACACGGCAATTTACAGTCATGGCGGAAGAATGGCCCCTGGCGTGCGCGGAGAATTGCGACAAAGGCACCGGAGCCACCGGAAGGGTCTCTTCGAAGGCCACCGGGTCAAGCGCTGCCTGTGCCGCCGACCGGAAGCGCCGGATGAACTATCAGGGTTCCTACGAAAAAGCATGGTATGCCCCAGCACACGCAGATGCGCGACACCCAGAAATCTCTGCGCAGCATCCTCTGGCTGATCTCTCCCTCTCTCTGGTGTCTTGTAGGATTCTGTCCGAATGCACTCGCCGGCCTCGGCATCCACCGCACTTGGGGCCGCCCGAATGGGCTCTTTCCCCTCGGGCTGGAGAGCCTCAGGTTGCGGATCCGCCTTCTTCTCCTTTTCCAGGCTCAGAACGCTCCGTGGCTCTGGTGGAACCTTGGAAGCCTGCTGGGATCTGGGATGCGGTGAGGGTTCCCTTGGTGGGTGCTTGGGCTTCGGGCTGTCGAGCTTGCAAGTCTCCACAGCCCGCAGCTGCTGGAGCACCTCTGTGGGAATTGCCACCTTCGCAACATCCACCGTAGTCATGGCCATAGCCGAGGGAGGGGGAGGCGGTTGGTCTGTGGGGGGATTTTGTTGGCCTCCTACTTCTGTGGGAGCAACAGGAAGTGCCGCTTGAGGCTGATGCTGTCGAGCTGCGGCCTTCGTCTCGTCTTCGACCGGCGTCGATTGCAGGGATTGCAGGCCCGCATCCAAGGCTTGCAACTGGAAAATGAGGAAATGGTGCGGAGTGTCGTCCCCCTGGTTCCTAGCAAAGCTGAGGGTCGTGCCCGGTCCAAGCTCACCGGATTGTCCTTGCCAAAGGGCCTGGACCGAATTGACAAAGACAGGGTTCAAGGTGAGATTCGTAATTCTGATTTTCGAGCTGTTTGCTGGAGCTTCAACATCTGCATGCGTACGGGAGATGATGCTCAGGAGCTGTGGTGACTTGACGAGCAAGGCTTCCAGAAACTTGGCCTGATGCTGCCTTCCAAAGTGGGACTTCCCATCCGGAATTGCGAGGGCACGCATCGTACTGGGCAGGGCGTGAAGGACCTCTTGTGAGAAGCCTTCTGCATGTAGGCAAATGAGCTGCCACCGAGCTGCAGGTTGTTTTGATAAGGGTGCGACAGCAGAGCGAACAGGACACAACGGCCCTGGGGCTGACGCAGGAGGAGGGAGTGGGGCGGGCGGTGGCTGGGACTGCTGTGGCAAATTGGGTTTGGGTTGGTGCAGCTGCTCCACCGGATGTTGCTGTGCCTCTGACTTGCAAGGTTGAGCTACTGGCACTGCTGCCGCAGGTGGTGGTGCAGTCACTTGCTTCGGCTGTGACTCTGCAGCTCGCACGCGACTTGGATGGGCAGCTTCCTGCACATCTAGTTGGTAGTGAAACTCCTCGGGGGTCCCTGCACCCGGCACTGCAACCATGGCGTGGCCTTGAACGACGGCCGGTATCCACTGGCCAGTGCGACGCGACAAGTACTGGACCTTCTCTCCGAAGCAGAACACCCGAGGCTCCGGAGACGAGCCACCTGCTTTGGCTGCATGCTGAGGCTGATACATCTGCTGCCCGGACAAACCCCCAGACACGCCATTCAGCCCACACGTCGGTGGGGACCTCACATCACATGGCGTCGGAACACCTAAATCCAGAAGGAAAGCGCAACTCCTGCTGCTTCGGAGATCTCTGGATGTATCTAGAACTATGTATCTAATGCAGAGTGTGGGCAGGTCTGTGTCCTGGCGCTGAGTGTCTCGGCACCACGGATCACCCCAGGCCGATGAATTTCTGATGCTGCGGAAGTGTCTTCTACTAAGTTCTACTATCTGAGGTAGCTTTTAAAGATCCGAGCACGGAGCGGCCGTTCGGAAAACCACAGTTCTGCAGCATGAATGTGGCGATGGCATGACCCAAGCTGCTACTTGTAAGATGCTTGCGCAGTCAGAGCTGCTCATGATTACCGTCTCTTTGTGCACTAGCTGTGGACTCGTCGACTCCAAAGAGCAGGCCCCGCGCACCTCTTGCCTGGGCTTCCTGTCAAACACGGTACTGCGCGTTTTGGTTTGCCAGGCTCTGTGCGGCAGCTAGACATACTGTAGCCACAGAGCTTTCGGAGAGATTCGCAGTTAGGCAGCCATGCCGATGGCATGTGGCATTGTCCTACAACCCTGGTAACTAGTACTGTTCCATTTCACCATCACACCTTCTCTTCATGTGGGCCCAAGCCTGAGACAAGGCTATCAAGCTTTCCTAGTCCACATAAAGGCTAACACTGTGTCAGTCATAGGTCATAGAATCATAGAAGCGGCCATAATCGCAACTCAGAGACACACACACACACACACAAACACTCACCCACCAACCTGAATGCAGTCAGAAACACATCACGGTGAGGTTGAGAAGGTTAGCAGTAGTAGTAGTAGTAGTAGTAGTAGTAGCAGTAGTAGCAGTAGCAGGAGCAGCAGCAGCAGCAGCAGCAGCAGCAGCAGGAGTGTAGTAGTTGTAGTTGTGGTCGTCGTCGTAGTCGCTGCTGTGTAGATGTTTTCTGCTTTTACACTTACGCTCGCAGAGATGTGATGATGACACTTGCCGTTAATACAATAAGTGCGACGGCTATCCATATAACACAAACAACAAACACTAATCATGTTCATATTGCAACTCGTTCTGCTGGGGCGATATTGTGGTGTATTACTGAGCTGGTGCCTGGGTCGCCACGGTGCCACCTGCGGCGTGGCCGCATCAGCGGCATCGGCAGCCAGAGTACCTGCCAATGTGTGAGCGAGCTTATGCAATGTAGACTCGCAGGCCGCTTTAGGCTGCTGTAGGGTTTGCGAACTCAACGACGTTTGCAGGGACGGTCTTGAGCTCATTTAGCTTAGCACACGGCAACCAATCAGCACGCCCCAAAATCTCGACTACAGTTTCCAAGCTCGAATTCAAATCTGTCAGTCTTTCAGACCAAGTCCTACATCCCGCCACAGGCTCGTGTCAAGCACATTCTGGAACTGTCAGCCCCTGTAATGACCTACTGGTCATAGGCCACAAGTCTCTGAAAAAAGCTCGCCCCCAGCAGCCTCGCATTGGCAGAGGGGTGAGGCTCTTTCGCGACGCCTCGATAAGCACACCATTGTTCTGAGTGCACCTCTCTCGAGGTTTCCCCGCTGACCACTCTGGAGCATGACCCAGGCGTTTGTTTGCTTTTGGCTGTACAATAGGCTCCCGGTGTGCCTCTGCACCTTGTCCCTGTGAGTCACAGTTCACTCTTCCACGCCCAAAATTCACAGACGCTGAACACGACAACTGTGGCGATGCTTCCTCCCACAATTTTGCACGACAATCACGCACATCAACCTACTTTGAATGTGCTGCCTACTGCCTTCCTTGGCGCCTTGGATGTTTATAGAACCTGGACCCATGCTTCTAGTCTGGTGCTGCTTACTCGCATGAATGATGCATGAAGAAGTCTTTTTCACGCTGCGCCGTGGCTTCGAGCGCGAGCAGCCGCATCAGCAAAGTCCGCGGCAAGGTTTTGATTCGGCCTGCAACCGACTCATTATCACCGTGGTTACTCGGAGTATTCGATGTTATGCAGAGACTGAAGCCAACAGACCCAATACAGTAGAGTCATCATGATTCGGCCCGTACGACTCCAGACGAAAAGGCATCCCAGCCCAGCCCAGCCGCCCAGCCCCCCAGCTCAGCCCAGCTCCCAGCCCTAGCCCAGATTTCAGACTGTGTGTCCAAATTTCCATGGAAACTTGGGCAGATGGCACATGAAGTGCATGTCTGGCCTGAGTCCTCTACACTGGCTCCTGAGCCAGTTCTTACATGGGCTGTTTACATCAGGTTCGGATTCTATGCTCCCCACGCGGCCCCAGGTCAGCCCTGGCCTCGCATTGCCAGAGATGAACCGGTCGGCGCGCAAAGTGCGCCGCGAGCTCCGAGCCGAGAGTTGAGGGGTGCTTTCCTTGGAGAGCATTCATCTTTCTCTCGGTGTTGAAGGGCTTTGCCCAGGAGTTCCATAATAAAGACTTCGAAAACTCAGGCTGTCGAGCTTTCTGTTGGCTGAAGGACTGTCTCTTCGAAACTGCTCGATGGAGTATCATGCTCAGGAAAACTGAGGTGATTGCACAACGAAGCGTTACAGCTCGAGTTCAGGTAGGAAGCAGAAACTTTCGCTGCCGCGCCGGCCACCAGTCGGCGAACACGTGCAGACAGCGACTCGGCCTCCTCTCGTAGTCCGTGATGCTGACTGCTGAAGATTGCTGTTGGCTTGCACGTTCCGAAAAGAGTGGCACCTGTTCAATCACCCGTTCAGTGCTGCACTGACGGAACCAATGCTGCAGTCAACGTGTTGGGTTTTATAAGATGCGGCATGTTCGAGCTACCCCGAGTAGACTTCGGATGAATGCAAAACTGGCCAATCCGAAATGCTGCCATCATCCAGAATTCAGAGCATTACGGCGGGCACAGTGCCTTTCGTTCGCAATGCTGTTGGGCCGATAGAACACCCTGAAATGCACACGTCCTGTAACGCCCGGCATGAATCAAATAGCAGCACATATTAGCTTTAGGGCCGGAATTTGGGGGCCCTTGGAGCTGACCGGATCCTGTCCTGGCAATCTGGATCCTCTGTCGGCACCTGTCGACGTGGCCGCATGGAGTGCGTAGCGCCGGTCTACCGATACTTTTCTGGACTTGCTTGAAATGTTAACGGTCCCCGTGTTTCTTTCTCCTCAAATCACTCCAGTCGGCCTTACGTTTCAGACTGCAGACTGCAAGCCCCGAAAAGCTCCTGGACTCCTAGATAGGCAGCACGAGCGAGAATGCTACAGGTCCTTGCTTTCACCGTCTGGGCAGGCACCGAAAGACCAAGAACTGAAAGCCTTAGCCCCTGCCCTACAGTAGCCCCTGCATCATAAAGCCCAGAAAAGGCACTAGCTCGTGGCCAAATCGACGGCGGTAGGAGGCTGCCAGAACGGCCAACGCCAAGGACACCGAGGCCAAGGCAATTGCGACATTGCGCCAAACCTGTTTCGGGGATTTTGGCTCCCCTCTGTCTCCGGGTTTTTGGGGTTTAGGGCTTGTCTGGTGCAACTTACTGCAACTTCTCGGGGGCTCGCGGCGTAAAGTCTGAAGTTTCACTTAGCAGGGCAAGCTGGCCTTTCACCTCATGCCTGCATTAGCAGTAGCACCGCCAGCTAAGAGCTGCGTCAACGAACTGAATCAATAGTTTCACGCTTGGCCTCCTGCTTGCTGCCCTCGAGCTCCATCAGGAAACGGTTGGACTTCAGGGCGACGGTGCAAAGGTCCCCTTCAGGGCGCCAGCACCTCCCCAGATTGAAAGAGCACTGAGGAGCCTGTTGGCGTGGGGCTCCTGTCAACCTGGCTGCCAGTAACTACTGAAACAACCTTTGGCTTACCCGTCCGGGTTCGGCTACGGCGATTTCACGCAACCCAGCCAACCCACACCAGACCGTGCGGCTAAGCCGAGAGGCTCCGCACCATCTGTCGCACCTTTCCTGAGTCTAACATGAACGTCTTACCCTGAATGTTGTGCCACCTTTTCTCATGAAGGCCAACGAAAGTCAGTCGCATCGAAGCGCGGCGCTCGCAAATGGTTTGATACTAAACTTGACTATGCTGCACCCTACTGCTAGGCTATGTTATACTGACCCTACTCTACATCACTATGTAGGTTGGGCAGATTGGCAACACATCCTCGAAAGAGACCAAGCCGATTTTGCTTTTGCCTGCCGAGCCTCGCAAGGCCAAGATCTTGAAGATCGTCCCTGGGCAGAGGTCGCTCCACCGGCTCCGCCCCGGGCACTCTGCTGTGTCAAGGGCTGTTGTAAAGGGTTGCTGCCATTGTTCTGGTTACTGTTGTATTGCTGCTGCTGCTGCTGCTGTTCTTGTTGTTGTTGTTGTTGTGGCTGCTGCTGCTGCTGCTGCTGCTGCTGCTGCTGCTGCTGCTGCTGTTGCTGCTGCTGTCGTTGTGGCTGGTGCTATTGCTGTTGCTGTTGTCGGCGGCAGCGGTGGTGCTATTGTTGTTGTTGTTGTTGTTGGTACACACAAAAACAGGGGCCCGTAACTTATGTTAATTACAAACATTTGGGAATGCTTCCGGCGACCGCAAAGGGTACCTGTAGAGTTTTGGGGAATGCAAGCCATGGTTTACACAGCATCTGCCCCAGGATAGAAATGCTGCGTAGGCTGGGTGGTTGTTGTAGA